CCCAAAAGCAAGGTTTCCCATCGGGAGCTCCTCCCCCGGATGAGTTTATTATTGCCACCCCGTTTATAATTGCCAGAAGAAGGGCTGCAAAGGGTTACCCTTGCCGGGTTTGTGAAATGGCTCCGTTTATATAGAATTGGAATAAGGAACCGACCTCAAGTTTAGCTACTGCAGTTCCTGGAATCCGGAGTCCCTGGCTTCTTGCCAAAGCCTGCAGCTCTCGAATACCAAAGCCTGTGGCTTCTTGTCCAAAGCCACTGGCTTCATAGCTTTCCCAAAAGCAAGGTTTCCCATCGGGAGCCCCTCCCCCGGATGAGTTTATTATTGCCACCCCGTTTATAATTGCCAGAAGACGGGCTGCAAAGGGTTACCCTTGCCGGGTTTGTGAAATGGCTCCGTTTATATAGAATTGGAATAAGGAACCGACCTCAAGTTTAGCTGCTGCAGTTCCTGGAATCCGGAGTCCCTGGCTTCTTGCCAAAGCCTGCAGCTTTCGAATACCAAAGCCTCTGGCTTCTTGTCCAAAGCCACTGGCTTCATAGCTTTCCCAAAAGCAAGGCTTCCCATGGGGAGCCCCTCCCCCGGAGGAGTTTATTATTGCCACCCCGTTTATAATTGCCAGAAGAAGGGCTGCAAAGGGTTACCCTTGCCGGGTTTGTGAAATGGCTCCGTTTATATAGAATTGGAATAAGGAACCGACCTCAAGTTTAGCTGCTGCAGTTCCTGGAATCCGGAGTCCCTGGCTTCTTGCCAAAGCCTGCAGCTCTCGAATACCAAAGCCTGTGGCTTCTTGTCCAAAGCCACTGGCTTCATAGCTTTCCCAAAAGCAAGGCTTCCCATGGGGAGCCCCTCCCCCGGATGAGTTTATTATTGCCACCCCGTTTATAATTGCCAGAAGAAGGGCTGCAAAGGGTTACCCTTGCCGGGTTTGTGAAATGGCTCCGTTTATATAGAATTGGAATAAGGAACCGACCTCAAGTTTAGCTGCTGCAGTTCCTGGAATCCGGAGTCCCTGGCTTCTTGCCAAAGCCTGCAGCTTTCGAATACCAAAGCCTGTGGCTTCTTGTCCAAAGCCACTGGCTTCATAGCTTTCCCAAAAGCAAGGCTTCTTCCCATTCTGCCACCTAAGGCAGCCTGAGTTCTTCTGTTTCACAGCTCTCTGGATGCCATTGGATCTGCCGAGGGGTGGAGTGAAACAGTCTGGAACTGCACTCTGCGAGCTTTTGGTTCAGTGTCGTCTGTGCCGATTTGCACTCTGCTGGCTGGGTTTAGGGTCCTCTTTGTTTGAGTCTCTGGTAAATACGTAGCCTCGTCTGTAGAATTTTGGGGATTTCTGAGCCCGAATATTTTAATTGTCACCCCGTTTATTATTGCGACTGGAAAATTATGATCAGTCGTTTGGCCAAATCTGCCCTTGCCTTTAAACTCCTCTTGCGCCCGGAAATTCTGGCCCGGGGAATATTTTAATTGTCACCCGGTTTAATAAAGCCACTCTTACATTAAGGATTTAGGGCCGTTTAGAGCTCCTGAAAGGGTTCTATAAAGGATCCCTAGGGGGGATTATGCTGAAAGGGTCAATGGACTTAGTAACTTCAAGCGTTGCTGACATGAAAGGGTTCTGTAAGGGATCTTCTGGGGCTTTCGGCTTGCAGGAACATGGGACCAAGTCGCTAAAGTGTTAATGAAGGTAGCTATAGGTGGAAATATTCACAAGCCCGATGAAAGGTACTTAGAGCCTTACTTACACGAGACTCCACGCATCGGGACCCGAACAGTTGGAACAAGGTTTGGAGGAGGGGGCGTGGCCTTGCGATTCCAAAGGGCTTGGGATTTGGGGCTTTAAGCCTTCTACGGCTTAGGTTGTTAAGAATTGCAGGCTAAGGCGTTTGGGGCTTATGGTTCAGAGTGGCAGAGTTTCCGTGACCCGCCCTTCCAACCCCTCGGAAACGCCAATATAAGGCTTTGAATCAACTTCCTCAGGGTTCCTCAATATAAGTATAGTACCAAAAACCCACGATCCTGCTCCAAATTGTCCAGGCCCGTATGTTAATCCAGCCTGCCATGAGTTGGACAGCACTGTTACGCCCTGAAAGAAAACGCAGCGTATCGCAGACTCAACTCCAATAATGTAGACCCTTCCGATTAGTAGTACATGGGCCTTTAAGAGAATGAGAACACATTGCACGATCAGAGTGCGACCATAATAGGAGACTCGAGCAACTAGTTAGCAGCATTTTGAGCCCTACATGAACTCTAAACCGTGGAACCTTGAAGCCTAACACCTGTTTCGGGTTTAAAGTATAGTGTTGCCCAATGCAACCCCTGAATAAACAGAGTTGTAATGCCCAACTCGTAGCCCGAAGCAGGAGCTTTCTAAAACCCTTCTGCAACTTGGTGGAACCTTTAGAGCGACCCTTTAAGACCCCTTCTGTCGTCCCGCTAAACGCCCTTAGCCCCATATCCTCAACCCTAAATCCTAACCCTACTTGGAGGGTCGGCGGGCTTAGTAACTGGTCATTAGCGACTTATAAGTACGATAACCCAAGTTTGGGTTCCCTTTTAGGGTACTTATAAGTCTACTTACTACCTACTTACGAAGTCCCCCGACCCTCCAAGTAAACCGTAAGCCCTGAACGCCCGCAGGCCGGCTTCGATGAGATTCGAGAAATCCTGCCACTTTGTTCGCACTTCAGAGGAGGTCCATACGTCATACGTCCCTATCGACATGGGAAAAAAGCTCCAGCTAGCAAGGCCGTCGTAGCCACTGCAAGATCCTCCAAACCGCTTTGCACACCGAGCCCTTCAACAAACCCCATAACTCCTGAACCTTGAAATCTAAGCCTTAACCGAACGAGTGAGGCTCCTAGAGGCCCAGAGAGCCCCACGTCATTACTATAGTCTCCTTTCGAATTTGTTTTTATTTTGGTCATATAAAGATATTGGTTTTTGTTGTGGTCCTAATGGGGGTATAGGTTAACGGGAAGATTTCAGTTTGAGGCTCTTGGTTACAGGGTGTTTGCTCTTGGATTATGTGTGCGGTCTTGGATCTTAGGTTCCTGAACAAACCATAAGGCCTAAACCCCAAAGCCTGTGTATTCCTAGGTTACTGGGGGTCCTCGTGTTTCTTTAATCGTGATCACAAAAACAATCTAGAATCCATCTTCTGTTTGCGTTCGAAGGGGAATGGAGTTCCAAATCGTCATTCCTGCGCCTTGCACCCAGACTGAACTCTTGAAGGACACCGCACAGAACCCCTAACTTGAAGGAGCCCAATCTTAAACCCCAATCTTTCCACCCCTAAACCCTGAACCAAAAATCATCACCGCCCTGAGCCTTAAACCCTAAACCCGAGTTCTTGACAGGGGCCCAGGCCTACTAGACTAAGGCAGTAGTGCTCGCTTGCCTGGGCTACCAGCCTTAAACCCTAAACCCGACCTAATGTAGGAACCTGATTAAGAAACCCTGGCCCTATAACCCCAATATAATAGGATCCATATTAAGGAGCCGAACAAAGGCCCAAGGTTTCTGAGTCAGGTTCCTACATTACACCCTGAAAAGTATTTGTGAGATCATGAGACTTGGTAAGTAAGGTTTTCAGTACCTTAAACTATAGCCGCCTTAGGAGTTGCGTTTTGTTCGCATAAAACGCAAGAGAGTACTCCATTTTTGTATTATAGTTCTAAGATTGTATAGGAACTGGGTTTGTAAGTATTTTTAAGTATGATCCTTCAAGCGGCTTAGGTCCGGCGTGTCGAAGAACGCCACCGAGTGCCATTCCGCACGGGCTGTGGACGGGAAGCCCAAAGGAACCGGAGCTCCAAACCCTGGGTTCTTGAGATCATGCTTTGTCCATATTTGTCCATATACGAGTGGAAGTTCTTATGATGTGTTGCAAAGATGTTAGAGATGTTTTATGAGAGCTGGCTGAAGGTTAAATGTTGCTTCATGTGGGGCTTCTTTAGACTAGCACCGCTTTGGGCTCTGTAAGTCAGATCCTTGGTGCCAGCACTTCTAAACCCCAAACCCTTCACAACACGGAAGCCAAAACCTCAGCCTCCAATCCTGAAGCTCGTGAACCCCTTCGAAGATTTCAGTGTCGCTGCTCAGGCGCAGAAACTGCGATTGAGGTTTAGGGTTTAGGGTTTTGAGAAAGTTCCATACGTCTTTGCGTGTGCGTCGGCGTGAAACCTACCTCTGGCTGTTGTGTTGTTTCGGTACTATATGGGAGTTTCCACCCTGCATAGTAAGATCCTTACTATAAGGAGCCCTAAATAATGTACCCCCAATTCTCGGAAACTCGCATATTGGAAGTAGACTCAACCTTAAACCCGAAATCCGAATCCCTAAACGGTTGCTGCATGGTTCACTCTGCTTGGAGGGTCGGGGGACTTAGTCAGTAGGTAGTAAGTAGACTTAGAAGTACCCTAAAAGGGACCCTAATTGGGGTTATGGCGCTTATAAGTCCCGAAAATACCCAGTTACTAAGTCTCCCGACCCTCCAAGTGCCAGGTACACCTCCTCAGACGACCTCCGAACTGACGCCCTGAAGCCCGCGCCCCTGTGTGCGGACATGGCTGAGATCTTTGTTGTGGGAGCTCTTGGGAGATTTTTCGGGTGTTTCGGGGGGTCTTGTGCCGGAGATGACTTCAAGTTGCACAGTAAGGATATGTCAAACACTAGATGCCTGGCAACTTAGAGCTAAGTCCCTCAACATGAGCTCAGATTGTTACGAGAAGGATGGTGCTGCCTCAGCTGTCCCCGAAGAGCCCTGAACTCTAAACCCAAACCCTAAACCCTAAACCCTAAACCCTAAACCCTAAAAAGATCAAGCGCCCCCGCCCTCGGGGCTATCCCGCACTGCCACTCACTGGTCATTTCGTGGGCCTCTCGTGCTGACTTCGAACGGGGCCCGGGGGCTGTGCATGCCTGGAGAAGCGCTAGGGCCCAACGTGCAGCTGAGCTTGGGGAGCTGGGGGCCGCCGTACAGACCGAACGGGGCCATGGACCTACATGCCAAAGCTGGGGGCGTCTTTCCGGGGAAGGCGCCGGGCCTCGGGCCTGCTATCCCGTCGGGATTTGACCCGGACCTGGAACCCGAGACCAAGAAGAGGGAAGCAGCCCCAGGGGCGACAATGTCTCCTACGAAGAAGCGGCCGGAATCTACCAGTGCAGTGACTATGAGCGATCTTCAACAGCTACTTGCCGAACAAACATTCACACTGCAAAGCCACCAGCATGAAGCCATCAAGGCGGCGGTACATGAGCTACGTGATTCTACACGTGCTGAGTTGGGGGGTATCAAGGCTACCTTGAGCAAGCACGATGATCATATCCTTCAACTCCGAGACGCGCAGGATCGAATGGAACTGCGCCTGACGACCCTCGAACAAAAGGGGGTTACCTCCTCGGCAGGGTCTACTGCTGATGAGCGTGCAGGCCAAATGGATCTGATGATTGTGGGCGGCTGGGAGGAGAACACCCCGCGTGAAGTCCTGCTTGCGGAGCTCAAGGAGGCCCTCGAGACCATGGGCATCCCGGACTTCTTTAGGGACTACTTCACCATTGGGCCCAGGAAAGGGTTCGCCATGTGCTTGGTTGCAACCACCGCCAACGAGGCTCCACAGGACCTCAAAAGGAGGATGATCTTCACAGCGCAGCAGATTCGCCAGCAGAACTACAAGGCTCCTTCGATGCGGGAGGGGAAGACCCTTCGTGCCACATTGGGCCGCACCGCTGCAGAGAGACAAAGAGCTGCGCACGTCGGCAAAAGCAAACGCCTGGTCCTTGAGTTCAACCAGGATGTCCTACCTTATACAGACTCGGAATGGGGTCAGGGGAACTTCTGGTTGAACGGCACGGTCTGCTCGAGCTCAACCAGACCTCCACCTAGAGATGCAAAAACTGCAGCGGGCAAGAGCCCAGGGAGCTGGATTGACCTCGGCTTCATCGCTCGGAGCATAGGAGCCAACCTCGATGACCTCGCGGTCCGCTGGGCCGAATTGATCAGCTGAGGCAGTGCAGATGAGGCTGAGCATGCATGCAAATTAGATTCTTTCAGTGAGCCCTTGTCAAAAACCCGCTGCAGCCCTGGAGAGTGTGCTGAACAGGTATGTATTCCAGAACAGCAGTTGGACGTGATCACCCCACCGCCAAGCGGTAGCACTTTTGAGAACCCACGGGACCGGCCCAATAAGGGCCGCCCGCTGCCGACACCTGCCCTCCCTCGAGTGCTTGAGTTGGCTTGTTTTACTTGGAACATCGGTGGCAAGCCCTTGGAGGATGCCATTAAAAGCCTCTGTCTCACCAGCCCAGTGTATCCCGATGTAATTGCTTTTCAAGAAGTGGCCAGGCGAGCTGTCGGATGGAAGTCAGACCAGATCGACCAGTTCACCATTGTCCAGACCAGACACGACTCTCAGTGGAGGGGGAACGCGCTAGCCTTCCGGACTGACGGTTTCTCCCTTGTACAAGGCAAAAGCTGCCCGCATGGCATCTGGATTAAGCTGAAGCACAAAGATACTGGACAACAGATCTGGTACGGGAGCCTCAGACTTGATACAGGCTGCACTGCAGATGTCGCTGCAGAACAAACACAGATCCTTATGCAAACCCTGCCGAACACCCCGCTTCCGGTGCTCCTACTGGGGGACTGGAACACCAAACTACGGTGGACTGGCAGAGCTTCCAGAGGAGAAGTGCGACCAGTGGACGGCAGAGGAGACTACGTGACCTCAGAAGTCCATGACCGTGGGCTCAAGTTTGTGCCACCGGCACCCGCGCAGTGGATGACACCCACTAGCCGACCCCGGAGAGCTAATGCAGCGGGGCATCAGATTGACGGGGCTGCCTCGATGCACGCCAGAACCGGGACTGTCACCATCTTCCCCGATTCCTACAAGCTCATTGGCGGGGACCATGACTTCCTTCGAGTGCCTCACAGATTGAGAACCTCTTGCCAACGACCAGGGGAACGCCGGACGACCCAACCGCGAACAGTGACCGGCAAACTCCCCAGTGTGACGAGGATGGACCAAACCATTATGGAGAGACTCGCAGCCCGGCTGACAAAGCCGAGACGCTCCTGTACTTACCGGGACCCCGAGGAGGTCAAGAACTTGTACCGCCGGGCCAAGACCTCAGGATCGGAGCACGACTGGAAAACGGCCCATAAAGCCAGGCGCACTGCGCATGACAAATGGAGGACTGCTAAGCTAGAAGAGGCTGCCAGTGGCAACTGGGCTGCCATGAAGCACACCAAACAACACGCTGGTAATGAATGGGCGGTACACTATATCGAGGCGTCCGACAGTAACCAGCAAGAACCGCTGAAATGGACTGTGGAGCACTTCAGAGCCCTCTTTCAGGCCCCGGCACCTAGGCAACCTCCCTGCTGGACCAAGGAAGCGAGCCAGGGGCAACCAATTACCGTGGAAGAGGTGAACAATGCAGTGGACAAGGGACACACCAACAAGGCGGTTGGAGAGGACCTCACATCCTTTGAACTCCTCAAAGCTCTTGTTAAGGACCCCCCTACAGGCAAGGCCATTGCAGATTGGATGGAACGAATCCGGCAAGGGGAGGAAATCCCGGAGAGCTGGACCCGCATGATAGTGACCTTGTTGCCGAAGGTTGACAAGCCACAAGGACCGGGTGACCTTCGCCCCATAAGTTTAGGATCCTCCATAGGTAAGACCTTCGGCACGATCCTCTTAGCGCGCACCAGATACCACATTGCCCCCCAGGGGGCGGCCCAATGTGCTCATAATGGAAGACAAACATCGGACTTCCTATTCACTGCTCTGCGATCCTTCGCTCTTGACTCCGAGTGGAAGATGGGTTTATGTTGGGCGAAACTCGACGTACAAAAAGCTTTCGATAGTCTGAATCGAGATAGAGCCCTTCGCCTGCTGCGAGATAAATTGCCATCTGACATGAGCTTAGAATATAACTGTTGGAAACGGCTATTTGAAGAGAGTGTGGCAATACTACGCACCCCGTGGGGTGACGCTGAAATTGTCCAGTCCAGAGGTATACGCCAGGGAGCTGTCGAATCACCCTGGATATTTGCTGTTGCAATTGAGGCCGCATTGGCGGAGGCCCAGGAGAATCGCGACTGGCCTAAGACCATACCTGCGGCCCCGGGAATTCCCGTATCCGAGATCTTATTCATGGACGACTCCTTGGTGTGGGCAGCTGACAGACCGATGATGGTGACCAAATACAACCTGCTGCGCCAGCACCTAGCGGAATGGGGACTGCGGATTAATGCTGCCAAAACAAGATATTATGTGTCCCCGTATTCCACGACACCAGGTCCCATCCACCTTAGATGACCAAGTGATTGAGCCTGTGACAGAGATGCGAGTCTTCGGAATCCCGTTGTCAGTGCCAGTGAAGCCCACCCAACTTCTCGATTCAGGCATGGCCAAGGGTACGGCGAAGTTCTATGCCAACAAGAATGTGCTGTTAGCAAGAGCCCCGCTGAAGCACAAACTGCATGTGCTCAGGTCGGTGGTTGGAGGCGCTGTACTGTGGTACAGTTCAGCCATCCCCCCGACACCTCAAGGGCTTGGCGCGGTCAACTCCCTGCAATTGCAACTTACTGCCAAGCTAGCCGGGTTCAATAGGAGGTCCGATGAGAGTTGGCTTGAACACAGACAGAGATCTACCCGAGCTGCAAGACAACTCCTGGTGAATCATAAAGTAGAAAGATGGTCCACGTGCTGGCTGAGGAGATACTGGCGTTACCGAGGCCATGTGGTGAGATCCCTACATCGAGAACAACCCACGGCCAGTGCCCTGATCGATACATACCGCACCCTGCACTGGTGGAGAGATCAGCAGCGTTTTAAGACCATGCAGCACCCGGGCTCCTTTTACCCACACCTCACGAACCAGGAGATGAAGCTGAATAGAGCGTGTCCCAACAAAGACTGGCGACTGACCGCCAGAGACCCCAAGACATGGCAAGCCGCAGAAGAGACCTGGATCACCCAGGAGGACGTTGCTTGGACATCTGGACGACAGCTGGCCTTATCACAATAACCTATAATCCCGCGCCCCTAATGTCCCAGTGTGTAGTCGTGAGTGAAGCCGTGCTGCTGACAACGACAACCGCCTTAACTAACCCCAGGGTTGCCCGAGATTCTTGCAAGTGCCTTCTTGTGCCCAGAGCTTTGGCTGTGAATCACTCCGCCAGACAGGCAGGCTGCCCTGTAAGCCCTGCAAACATGATGCGGCCTCCAACCGTCGCGACCCTCCTGCACGTCCTGGTGCTCACTCGCTACTACATGCCTGGAAGTTCGATGACGAGCGGGGTGAGTTCCCATGGTTGTGCTTCCGAGGCCACCCGCCGGCCCGCGGACGATGTGAACCTCGGCATGCAGAATGATGCAGAGAGTAGCCAACCTCGCAACCACACGGCGCCCACCTCATGCTGGCCACAAAGTCCGCGCGACCTCCAGCCCGACAACGCATGTGAACTTCGACGACCGCGAGAACAAGCCTCCCGACCTGACCCTGTACAAGCTGAAGTGCCAGTATGTGAGCTAAGACAGCGGGCCAGAATGGTGGACTACGAAAATTGGGTGGAGAATCAACCCGACCACTCTGTGGCAGACATCGCACCCGGTCTATCTGCTGACCTACCACATCCTCCGGAAGCTCCCCCTCGGTGCGATTCAGCCCAAGATCCAGGCTGGCGTGTCTCGGGCCTAAAACGAAAGCCTTCTATGGCCCAACCTGTTCCCCTGGAAGGAGCCCTACGACACGATCCGGCACAAGACCTAGGCCCAGAGCGACAAGTATGCCACCCGCAGCTGGGCGTTGATCCTCTACCTGTTCCCCGGGGAGAAGACCCGCAACACGATCCGGCACATGGTCATGGCCACGATTCTCCAGCCCGTCGACCGATGAGTCCAGATGAGGTGCAGTGCGAACTCAGGCGACTACAAGACGAACTGGAACAATGGTGGCTTCAGGGAGACGAAATCTACGGGACGCTCACGGAGACCATGCTGGCCATCCGCGATCAAATTCATGGCCAACTCCGAGCTGATGCAGTGCATGTCCTTGGACAAGTGGCGGTGGTGGTCCCACCGAAACCGGGCTGCAGACTGAGACCAACGATACTCGCGCCAACCCAACGTCGCTGGGTGAGGGCCGTGGTGACAGCAATCACAGAGCTGCTCGCCCACAGTGATCAGGCCCGCTCCACCGACGCACCTGGCGAGACGAGCAAGCTGCATGAACAACAGCGAGCCGGACCCCCGGAAGAACCCTCCGATGAAGTTTACATGATGAGCAAGCGAGCAGCCCAGACCGAACGCAGAGCCCGGCCGCACTCCCCCACTTGGTTGTGGCGCAACCTGCCACCATCGCAGCGAAGTGAGAGCTCTATCAGCCTAAACCCAGCACGAGAGAGGAGCTCAAGACCAACCTGCCCAGGTGGCCGTGCACCATGGCATCGCAATGGTGAAAACCCGGCACCGATGGAGACGGACAATGCTGGGGATGCTCGTCATAGCTCGGCCTCCTCAGAGGGCCCACCTGGAGAACCATCGCAACATGCCCCTGCAGGTGAAGGACAAGCCGAGTGCCAGCTCACTACAGAGGACGCACAATATATATGGCTCTCGCTGCTGGAGATGGACCCGGAAGTCCGAGAAGTGCACGTAGATGAGTTCGGCGTGTCAGGTCTAGTGCCAAGTGACATGATCGCGAATGTCTTTGAGACCCTCATGGCACAGACACCAGCCGAAGTACAGATTATGGAGCAGAGCTTGACGTCGATGCTGGCAGCCTTCTCCAAAGAGTTCCGGGCAGTCATCCGCATGGTCCGGCACAAGCGGAACCTTCAGGGGGCCCAACAAACCCCACTTGCAGAGCCGGCCACACCAGATGCTACGGCGCGACCCGACGAAACCGAAGAAGAAGTGGAGCTTGAGGAGGCAGACGGGGGAACAACCGGGGAAACAGACACCCACCAGGACGACCTTCAAGATCTGCCCGATGCCGACATGAACGTCAACGACGGCGGCCCTGACCAGGAAGCCACCTCCATGATGCAGACCACATTGGCGGCAAGTGTGAACAAGGTTGACCCGCTACAGCAAGTCAAACGCATGCATGATACCCTCCAGAAGATGCCACCTGGGCAAGCCACCAGGACCGCTCGGCAACTGTACCAGAAACTACTACCTCTCCGACAACGTGTGGCAATGTGGGAGGAAGTGGAAGCGGTCTTGGTTTCCATGACGGATGCCGAGGACACCTGCGAGAGCCCTGAATGTCCTCTCCTGGTGGACGAATGGTTCGACATGTTGACGGGTATGAGCCTGGCGACACAAGCTATGAGCTCGTCTGGACCCCCCGACCCCACGCTTCAACAAGATGGCAGCCTACCACAGAGTGAGACCGAGGCCGAGAACTCCCAACAGAGGATGGAAAGGGAACTGGAGGTACAGAACGAGCACGACCTCCGCCTCTTTGAATGGCACCAGCAGCAATGCGAGGAGGAGGCTCGAGCCCGCGCTTTTCAGGCCCAAACCGAAGACAGAGCTGCCTTGGCTGCTCACTTGGGATGGTCAACTGGACCACCGACCAAACGTGTACGTTTGGCCATGACGATTGAGATGGGCAGGTTCCAGAAACACTTTGAGTATGACTTGGACCCTGGTCAACAGGTCAAAGTGACCCTTGCAGCCAAGCCGGGTGAGAGCATGGAGAAGTTCTACCACAACGGGCAGATCATCAATGACCAAATCGCCAGGCAGCTGCTCTTCGAGGAGGAGGAACGGCTCCGTCGGGGATACGACCCGGATGCTCCTCCGTCCCCACCTGTGGTTCAGTTGTACACCTGGCAGCGCCTGCAGACACTCTTCCGTGGATGGACGGAGGGCAAAGTAGCAGTACACAACATCTATGCGATCGGCGGCACACCACTAGCACGCCTTTTCGCGATCGCCAATGAGAACCCCCGTGACAAGGCACTACTGCTGGACGAAGCAAACTCGGCCGGATGGGGGTCAAGGTACATCCCCGCACACGAGCCACTTGTGAACGTGGCCTACCGGCATTGGTATCGAGAATACCTGAGCGACACGGAGGTCCTCCACTTGTTCGGGCCCAGGACCAAGCGCGAGTTCTATGCACACCGTGATCAACAACGCCGTGATCGTGAGCCACCTGCAGGCACCACAGAAGACCTTGACGAGATGCCTAGCATGTCTGCAGAAGGGGGTGGATGCACCGACTCCGATGATGAGGCCATGACCGTGCCATGGAACCCGCCGCTACCAGAGGCCAATGCTTTGACGGAAATCAAGCCAGTGGACGGGACAGCTATGCCACCTGGGCACGCACCTGACCTACTACAACTCCCTGGGGACCATGTGCTACCTGAACATGCTGAGACTGAGTGTTCGGCTTCTGAGGCAGATGGTGAACCGGTGTTTCCAGGCGACAGCGATAGATGTAGAATGGTCGGTAGAGAGCCGCTACCGAACGATCGCGGAACGTAGTGAGGGTGATCGCATCTTTATAACAGTGCACAGCCTGCTTGCTGAGGTCGTCGGCCGGGGCCTACCTTTGTTTCTGCGGTTGGTCTTAAGCCCTGTAGTTTTAGGCCCTGTAGGCTGCATTGTTTTGATTGCTGGAAGCCTCGAGCCCACGGATCTCTCTTTCCAGAGCATGTTGGGAAGTGTGCACAGGAAGGCTGAAATGTGCTTCTGCAAACGTTCAGAGGCCACAGGTGACAGTCTTTGGGTGGAGTCCTGTTAAGTCAGTAATGGGTTGTCTTTGGTGTTATTACGGAATGCCCACCGACTTTGTCACTCATGAACCATGCTATACAAGCTTGGTTGTGCACAGATGCACCGAGCTAGCATGCTGCCCTACCTGGAGGAATATGTTTGGGGGTGTTTAGTAGTTCTCTTATATGGTCTTGTTTGCCAGGTTTGGGCCAACCGGCTCCTCCACCTATGGAATTTCGGACGCTTAAGCAGACGGAAAAGAGCCCATAAAAAAAAAAAAAAAACCCTAAACCCCAAACCCTAAACCCTAAACCCTCAAGAAAGTGATAAATAGAAATTGCTTGTCCTTGTTTGTAACCACCGCTAAGGCCCAGCATTTCGGTTAAAACTGGCGTTAGCTTCTTGAAAATCTAATTTCGCACAACCACAACCTCAACCATTAACTCAGCCCAGCCAACTCAAAACAGCCACCCGATCAAAAACGGAACAAGCTTCTTGATAAACCAATTTCGCACAACCACGACCTCAACTTCTAACTCAGCCCAGCCAGCCAAGCCAAACCGGTCCAGCCCAGCCCAGCC